TCCTCTGAGAACAGAATATGATGTCACAGCGCCTGAGAAAGATGGTTGTTATGCCAATCCATCGTCAAAATCATCTTCGCTAGAACGGGTGGTAGAAAACAGTGTTGATGCCAGATCGCCGTCAATGACTGAAGTAAGCTCCGAACCGAAGGTTGTGGAGACTTCCGCAAGACACTCGGAAGATGGTTCAACTAATCCCACTTGGAAGCTAAATGAGGATGAAAACAACTGCTTAGATGTGTATCAAAACCCAGAGGGAGCAGTAAGCCCTGAAGAAAGTGCTATAACACCAAATGTTGTGCAATCGAAAGGATCTCCAACCCACGATACAGGAGCTATTGGGGATAGAGGGATACACAGTCCAGAAGTGCATCAAGATGATCTCCAACCACAGCTAAGAAGTGAAGTTAGCTTTACGTCAACAGGTGCTACTGATCCGCCTCTGTCGTCTGACATGGAGCACTTTGGCGGAACTCCAACCACCAACGTACAGGAGAGTGGCGTGGAGAGGAAGAATCCTTCCGATGTTTCCTCAACCTTTGAGACAGTGGCAAAGTCTGAAACACCACCACCACCACCACCATCTTTGCAAAATCTGAAATCGCATTGTCCACCACCTCCAACTGCCAGCACAAATGCGCATGTCACTCCAAAGTCGGATGACCTTCCTGCCGGTACAAAATTAAGCGCTGAAGTAATCCCCACAACTAAATCTGAGTTTTCACTTCAAGTTTCCAAATCTCCTCCAATCAACCCAATTGCTCCTGCCAACCGAGGAAATAACAAGGCAGCCATAGACATCAAACCCTTGCAGGAAGATGATAAATCCAAACCCCAATCAGGTGGGCAGGAAAGCGGTGAGGAAATACTCTCCTTCAAAGAAAGGCTAAAGCTATTTGAACAACGATGCACTACTAGTCATCCACAATTCGCCGTGAAAGCACCTTCCGCAGACGGTGTAAAATCATCGCATCAATTAAATGAGATGAAACAATCTGTTGATGAAAAGTCAAATGAAGGAAGCAAGATTGCACCTCAAAGGACTACTGTCACCGCTACCGCCTCCACGAAGACGTCTTCAAGCAGTCCTAAATCCGCCCCCAGGAAAGACGAGCATAGTGAGGTTCAAGACAGCGACAGCGACAGCGACAGCGATGATGATGATGATTCAGACAGCGATTCTACCACGTCCGACAGTGGAGATAATGATAAGGAAGACAAAGAAGAAGAAGAAAAGGAAAGAATGATGAGATTTTGATGTAAAGATACGAAAAAAAGCAGACATTTACGTACCATATTTTTCTCGTTGAACCAAATCAATTTAATAAAGGCAGTCTCAATAGACCCTTCTTTC